AGAACGGGAGGTGGTGGCGGAGTGCGCCCTGCAGCTGCGCAGGATCGGCGACAAGTGGGACCTGCGGCAGAAGATCTTGAACCTCCTAACAAAGCTATTCTGCCCGGAAACGTGAGCTCCCCTCGGACACGGTGCGCTGAAAAGCAGGGAAGACCTTGGCTTTGTTGGTTTGGAACGAGAGACTTCACTGACACTGGGAGATGAAGAAAGCTGCGTTGTATTTTGCTGCCTGTAGCTACTGAAGGGTGGCTGTTGCAACATGGTTTCTTTGAAGAATGTTTCAGCAATATTGGTGTATGAATGCCAGGTGAAAAAAAAGATAGCGATGGGCAGAGCCCCTCACCACACGATGGGGAGACTTGGGGCAAGATGGAACTTGCCCTTCAGCCTGGTCTGAGAAGACTTCCAGGAGCCTGGTTTCCCCAGTCACCCTCTGGTCCTCTGTCCCACAGCTACATTTCACCAAAGAGCTCAGATCACCTTCAGAAAGAAGCCAAAAAAAGTCAGTGTCTTGGAACATGGGATTGTATATCACAAGGCAAAAGCCAGTTGCTCGGTTTCTGACTGGTCTTGTTTTCTAAAGCATGGATTCCGCTGGACAGGAATCTGGTGTTGGGATTATTTCATTTGTTAATTAAACCACTATATTGAAAAGTTATTTGTTACAGGATGCTGCTTTGTGGATTAAAAATTACAATTCTATGAATTAACACGATGTTGCATAGTTCTAGTCTATATTATATATATTTGCATATATATTATATATAAAAATATAAACATGTGCACCCCATGTATATGAAATGAGTATTTCACAGAACTATTAATTGAATGCTACTTGTTTAGGCTCAAAAAGTAGTATGAAAAAATGTTCAAAACATGACATAAAAATCCATTATATTAACTAGAAGAAAGCATAATGTTTTCTGAAAATAAAGGAAATACTTCATGCATCACAGAGGGGAGCATACTTTAGTATATCATTATATAAGACACATATATATGAATATATATTACACAAATACAGATATTGAAATATGTGTGTGTTTGGTAGGGATTCTTTCAACATTACAAAGAATTTCTTGAGAACAGTACAATACTGCTGTGTGTCTTTATAAGTAAAAAAATAACTTTTCAATAGAAGTAGATCTTAAAGTTGAATCTGAGTTGAAACTCAAGTTTTCTTGAGAATGTTATTTATTCAAAGAAAGCAACTACCTCTCTTTGAAGAAATAATATCAATAGAATTGAATGTTACAGTCAGTACAGAAATGTAGTCTTGGATTTCTGAATGTTTAATGATACTCACAAGTGAAAGTTCTTCCCTTGTACTTTATTTCCATTTCATTTCATAGAAACCTCATTTCGGTTCCAGAATGATGAAGCCGCTGTAGCACATCCAGTGGATGGTGATGCATTATGCCTATCTCACTGAGGGGTCACCCTTGGCTGGCTTTGGAGGAGCTGAATTAATCATGCTGATTGCCGTCAAGGCAAACAGTAACTCTGCTAGTCAATTCATGTCAGACGTGATCCTAAACAGTATTTTTTCATGGGTGTAAACTAGCAAGAAAATGGCTGAAGCTGATCATGTTTTGTAGCTACCTCTTAAGTCAATGGTCAGAGTCGCTTCTCTTACTAACCTTGTACGTAAGTACATTTGCATTGTATAAGGCTGTATAGTTGCACCTTCTGAATTCTGGGTCTGTTCAAATTACATTTTTTTCCTGCCTTGCAGTGAATTCTTGTTTGTATTGATAATGAATTTTTCAGTTAGCTCTTCTGAATCTGCCTTTGCAAAATTGTCATTACATAGCTCTGGTCACTCTGTCACAACCAACTGTGTATGGCTGTTACTTGTTGACACTGATTTCACTAAGCAGAAGCTGACTGACTTTGCCTGCTTTCCGCATGGAGGACTTTTAACCCCGTCCCAGTGGCGTTACTGAGAGCTTTGCCGTTGTCTTGAGCCACATGCATGGTTTCCTCCTCCTCTAAGCCAGCTAATACCTTTTCAGTGAGAAAATAATGTTTCAAGAATAGTTGTTATTTGTCTTAGTACTGCAAAGTAACATGTTTTGCTGACATGTACATGGGTCAGTTTTTCAGGTATTAAAAAGTAAATGCAAAGAGTTTCTGTTAGGCTAAACACCAGCTCCCAGGCTAGCGCTGCGTGCAACTTGGCAAAGCTGTTCATCAAAGGCAGCCCCGACTTCAACAGAAAGGCTCCTGCTGTGTGCCCTGGGCTTGGTGGAGTCCTGGAGTCTTCATCAAGGACACTAAACAATGATTGTACCTATCCGGGACTCTGAGGAAAATTCAGCATTAGTATTTGCATTAGTAGCTGAAATGTATTTGAATGAAAGTGTTCTGCTCAACATATGCTGCTTTGAAATTCCATAGGAAATGAGGTGCAGGCTTCATAGAGCCTGCCCAATTCTTCAGGCCGTAGCACACATGAATGTTAGGAAAAAAAGGTATCCCCATAAATGCATTATCACAGGGATATCTGAGTTAAGTACTAGTGCAGTATTTTTCTGTCTAGATCTGCAAAAATTATTTGCTTTTTGTTAAATGCTTTTATGTTTCTCTGAGGATTGTCAAGAGTGCTAGTGTTCACAGTGAGTTCAGGAAAAAAGTCCTAGATCCAAGCGATCAGTGCCAGCATATAAGTAAGCACTTGCTGATGTCCTCCCTGGGAGTCCTTTTGTTACTTCTCCAAAGGATCTGCTATATGACTGTATCAACATGAGTGTGTTTCTCTTAAGACCTATTCTGGATACAGGCCAGATGTTTTGCTGTATGCCCCATGCATGTATGTCTTGAATTCTTGCTGAGATAATAAATACAGTGTTAGCAAGAAAAATGAGTTGTTGTTATAACTCAGGGTTATACAAATTCCTTCCATACATCCAAGTCAGAGGGCACACACTAAGGCAACAGCAGAGTGCCAGTAGATACACATTGGGAGATTAGGCTTTTACTTCTGCCATTAAGAGGAACAAGACATAACCATATCCTTGAACTTCAAATGGGAAACAGGCACACCTATTCTAATATTTTCTAGTAACTACTGCCCACAGAATAGTTTGGTGGTGTCAGGGGCACCATTACCTCTATTAGAGGTGTTGCAGCTTTGATGAAGAGAGTCCCTGGGAATCAATGAAGGACAGACAGCCAAGTTAAGGTTTTTATCTCAGATGCAGGCAGAAAGGAATGCAGCGTTTTGCCAAGTTCAGATTTTTACTTTCTCGAGAGTTTGAAGCTGGAGTTTTGGAAAAGGGGTAAATGATACTGCTTACCACAAGGGAATAGCAAAGGGATAGCGCAGAGCTTATTCTTTCTCCCTAAAGCTGGGACCCAAAGATGTGTCTGTGGAAAGGAGAGCCCAAGATCCTCACCTGCTACACTGTGTGCATCAGCAGATCAGCAGGCTTTCCCCTGACTCGTTGTGCTGCTTCTTCCCAGCTTCACGGGCAGGGAGCACCACGCCTGGGGCATGTGTTCCTAGCTCGAGGAGGACTAAGAGCTTCCTGGCCAAAGGCTCTGGTTTCTAATAAACTAAAAAAAAAAAAAAAAAAAAAAATCAAAGGGAAGCAAACTGCCATGCTTTCCCAGTTAGCCACCAGTGGAGGCTTGGAAGAGCTTTACTTAGGAGGCATCAGCGAAGCGGTCCTGAGAAGGCCTATCAGTCTGGTGCCAAGTGCTACTGCAGGTGCTGTACAGTGAATTTTTGCACAGCCCCACCAGGAAACAAATTATACTTGTAAGGCTCATCTGCCTTGTGAAAACATCCAGACACCCTCACCCACTGCCCACTGGAGGCTGGGCCCTCTCCAGCCAGGTCACTGCTAGAGTGTGATGCTTGTGACCTGCTCCTCCCAAAAGGGCAAGGAAAAAAAAATCTCATCACTGGGGCACGGCATCGCTATCTGAAGGTGCCTGACTCACCCCCAAGCACCTGATATCAAAACAACAAACTAAACCCACCTGCCAAAGCAAACTGCTGGAGTTGCTGCCCCATAGCGCTCTCCATTAACCACAGCCCATGGGCACCTGCCAGACCAACAAGTGCAGCCTCAGGCCACGTTCGCACTGTGCTCACCCAGGCAAAAACCAGCCCTCAGCCAGCTCACACTCTCACACCTGAGACTGGATGCACAAGCAGTATTTCCTAAACAAATTGCTAGACAACAGATAACACCTCTCTCCTCCCCTCTCCCCCTGTGGGATGTTTTTTTAAGTCATCTGAAAAAGAATGTCTCATATGCTGCTAATTATTTTTAGCATATGCTGCTGGAAGAGACTCATTTTCTCTCCATCGACACGAGACAGTCCAAAGGCATGACATGCATCTGTAGAGGTGCAAGGAGGCCAGACAGGAAGGGCTGGGGATATGGTCTTTTGGTCTGGCAGGGTTTTCCATGAAGTAGGTGACTGTCTGATGGTGGGACTGTCAGTGAGCAATAGTCCCAAAAGCTGTTACAGCTGTAAACAAGGGTCTTTACTCAAGTGCGTCACTATATTGTCTGGATGATGGTGTAAGAAACTGGCCACACCAAGGCTGCCCTCCCTTCTCATGCACGGTCTCTTTGCAATGCAAATCTCACCAGTCTGCAAGCCCTCCGAAAGTGCGGAGGCAGACATCACTAACTCCTTTAGCAACAGGAGATATGCCGTGAAACGGCAGTGACCTCAAATAAAACTGTTTCTGCCATTTCATATTACGGGGGCTTTGGCATCATTCCCTCCTCTGCAGGAAAGGACAGCGGGCGCACCACCTGGCTCAGCTCCTCCATGCTGCTGCCACCGCTTGAAGGGCCAAGGCACCTTCCTGCAGGGGACAGGCTAGCTTGCAAACCTTGAAAGAAACCAGTTACCTTCAACAACACTGGGTAAGGCTGGCGGACATGCCTTGGAGCTGCCGTCAGGACACTGGCACCCCTGCGTTGCCCACCGTGACACTGCTGCAGTGCCTGCCTGGGGGGCTCAGAGCAGAAGATGGCCCCCAGGACGGTGCCCGTCACCAGGCTTTTGTGCCTTTGGGATTTTGCTTGTGTTATCACACTCTTGCCCAGGTCAAGGTACCACGTTTGCACCTCCTCCCTCAGCTCCGGG